GAGAAGCCCTTCTTAGAATATAATCCACAGATAATCTCCCACTGTTAGTAAAAACTCACATTTCCCATCTAATTTGAAGTCACACTGCTATATTCAAATTAATTTTAATAATAACTCATGCTTACCAACTACCTTTAAGTAGAACAACTGTATTTTGGGTTGTTGGGAAAAAGCTCATAAAAAAAATTACTTTAAAAAACGATCCTTGTTTTGAAGATGATATCAATGGAAAGTCACGTACATGGTCTAATTTTAGAAAAAACTGCTATATTTGAGCTATTTTTATGTAAGCTAATGTGCACAACTCCTTTTAAGCATTCATTCTCAGATTTAGTTAAAAATTCCAATTCCTGGGCTATATTCACTGTGGAGGAATCTCTGGAGGTACAAACTATACTCTGTATCTTAAATAATTTCCCCAGGTGATTCTGATGTACAGTGAAGTCTGAAAACCAGAGACATGAAAAATAGAGTTTGAAAATTTTCTTGTATGTTCAAGTTCTCTCTCTCTCTTTTTTTTTCCCTAAATTCACTTAAAATGCAATGGCTCCTGCAGGGGTCATTGTGGCCTTAGTGGTTATTTATTGATGGCAAGAATTGGTTGTCTGAGAGCATATATGAAATGAGAAAGAGGAGAATGTAAGAAACCAGGGTCTGAAACGAAGGACAGTTTCTCAAGGGAGGAACAAGGCCCGAGACAGAGCAGGAAACGTACCTACCTGAGTATCTCGAGTAGGCCTGCCACTTAGAGCTAAACAGGAAGATCATCATCTGAATATAATGGCATTTCTACCTCAAAGATATGCATGGTTCCTTCTTCTCCCTCGAGAGGGTTTACTAAATATTTAATGCTAAATATATCTTGCTTGGAATTAATGATCCTGCCTCTAGAATCGAGAAACAGTAACAGCCTGATTGCCTATTACAGACTTAAGAATATGCTTTAGGTCACTACTACATAGATTCTGTGATCTGACAGGTTCGAGAAATGCTGGATACTTTTCCAACTTGTTAGAAATTCTCAATGCATCCTAACATATTAAACACACTGAAATGTTTTGTAGTAAAGGGACATTTTTCCTGGTGTTCCCCTGGTTACTCAACCACGCAAATTTAATTTGAGATTTGGCCAATGAAAGTCATTTTCACAAACACTCCTTTAACTCAACCATATGACCTAGAAACTATAGCCCCCTATTACATATAAGCAACCAAGGCTCTGAGAAATTCAGTTACTTGTCTACAAACATTTAGTATGTGGCTCCACTAGAACTTTAACCTAAGTTTGGCTGCTTTAGAAATTCTCTTCTAAGAGACTGTTCTAGAACTCTGGGTCACTGTCTCACGTCTATTTCAGAGTCAACTGTTAGTAAAGCTGGAATAAAATTGTGGAAAGGATTAAACTAACACTACTGTATGTTAAAGCATTTTGAAACCATAAAATAATATATAACTATCAGAATTAGTTATGGACTTCTCCAGGCAAGAATACTGGAGTGGGTTGCCATGTCTTCTTCTAGGGGATCTTCCAGACCCAGGGATCGAACCTGTGTCTCTCATGTCTCCTGCACTGGCAGGTGGGTTCTTTACTACTAGCGTCACCTGGGAAGCTATTTACAGTGTAAAGTAGTACATAAATATTAATTTTATCTAAGCCTCTGAATCATACTTTTAAATGATACTCTGTATAGAAAGGAAGTTTTGTTACCATTAATCCTGATCATCTATACCTCATCTATAACCCTTGAACTTTCTGGGTAGCATTTTTGGCTTATTATATACAGTCCTTGGGAAAATAAGTTTATGTAATTGGTGCTTTCTATATACAGAATCAATGAATTATAAATTATATAATGTTTATCCAAATATCTGATTTTTTTTGATTATGAGGATGTGAGCTCTGACTTAGGGCAAACAGTATGCTGCTTTTACCTAAATAAATGTTAATAAATCTTAGTGTAATTTATAGAAATTTTATTAAAAGTGTATTTATTTAAAGAAGAAACCAAGACTTAGAATCAGTCAGAGCAAGAGTCAACCTTCCTGAACATGCTTTACTGGAGACATATAATCGAAGAGACTTGCGATTCAAAAACTGGAACCCATTTAAAGCTAAGCAAAGAGAAGGCAAAAAGGTACAAGATTGCACAGATGGCCTATGTCTACTTCTGAGAAATATATTTTGGGGGATCACTTCACATGTCAAAAGGTAACCCCATTAAGGAGAACAAAGACAGATGGATCCTGTATTGAGGGAAGATGAAAGGCATCTTCAAATTTCCTATTCATTGTGAAGAGGAAACAAGCTCAGAGGGACAGCAGGCATCTTTTGTCACAACAAATTAAGTATGTTGCTGGCTTTCTATGTCACCAAGCTCAGTTAGAGTGAAAATTACTTACAGCATTTGAATGCAGGTGGAAAATAAATTTAGAGATCTGTAACTGATGTATAGTGGAATTTTTTTTTCTCTATTTTCTTCTCCTTGTCCTTCTCCCCAGTATACTTGGAAGGAATTGAAAATGGCAAAGGATCCAGAGAAATGAGTGTGAAAGCAGCAAGGCTCAGAAAGATTGCCACAAAAACAACCATTCTATCCTGGATGAGTAGGGTGGGAATGAAATAACATCTTGTGAAAAGATGTTCATCAGTGCAAAGAAAGAGGCCGGGTGAGTGGAAAATACAAGAGGCTGGGCATTAATTTCTAGCTTAGGAATTGGCTCGGAGGTTGCAAAAAATAATCTATAGCTTGAAAAATCACAGTTCCTTAAAGACTGAACATACTATCCATCTGAACCTACAGAAGACTCAATTTCTACAAATAAATATTACTTGAGAAATCCCTACTCAGGGATCATCTTTGACTATGTTATGTCTTCCTGAGTGATGTTCAATTTAGCTAATGCTCTTCGTCTGTGGTGCCTGAGGTTTCAAGTTCAGTTTTCATCTTCTAGGTCTCTTTTTTGTATCTTTAAAATCTAACACATCTTTGAATCTCTGCATTAATGATACATTTCAAATAGTAGACTCAATTTGAATTAGAAATTAACATTGTTAAGGAGTTATGAAAAGATGGGGCTTCAGATAGTTGGAAAGTGTGGCTTTACAGAGCATATGGTACAGAGAGAAAGAAAGAGAAGAAAAGTTTGACAAAGATAAGAAGACTGCCACAAAATAGCAATTTGTTTTCATGCTTTGCACTTCTGAATGGCTGAACCTACTTTGGTATGAGGAAAAAGTTGCTTAATCTTAATACATGAAAATACAACTAAGATAACCATTCTCTCAATGGTATAGGAAATTGCTGTAAATGCACATGTTTTGGAGTCTGTATACATCTAACATACCTCTGTTTCAACATCAAATGCACGTGTGTTTCTAGTGCATTGAATTCAATGTTCAGAGTACATGAGTTTTGCTATTTTAAAACAAGGGTAGGGGTTATGGCTATTTATGTTTAGTAGACACAGATATCATCAACAACACTAATTAGCAGAAACAGTTTCTACTGAGGTACACCTTCTTCTTTTTTTTTTTTAAATGATTACACAGTGTGAATTGAGGACTGTGTCCGAATCCCTTTCTCCTCTCGAATTAATTTGCCACATTCTAAATCCGTAGATAAAGTGGTTCCAGAAGTGGAGTTGGTTGGATGGGTTTGCTTACACTGCAGTCCATAAAAGAAACAAAAAGCCTTGCATGCAAAAGAAATGAGAAAAATATAGAAAAATGAATAAATCAGAAGCAAAAAAAATGAGTGTTTAAATGAAAGTTTAAATCAAATGACAATTATGAGAAGCACATTAAAGCATAACATATACAAGCTTTTACTTTTCAAATTAGTTGCATAAAACAAGACACCTCAAGAACAAATTGAAAGTTAAAACAAAGCAGATCAGTCCATTCTCCCTTTTAGTTAAGGACAGTTTTCTCTAACAAGTTCTAGGAAAGTGGTGCTTGATGTTCTCACAATTGCCTTGTAATTTCGGGAAAATTTTCATGATGAAAACTAGGTTAAAATCAATCATCCCCATCTTTGGAGATGTTTCCACTTAAAGAAAGTGGGACTCTATGAGATTATTAATCAGAACTGGGTACATTATTTGGAAGGCCCGGAGCAAAACAGAAATGTAGAGCCCTGTGTTCTAAAGTTGTTAAGGGTTTTAAGACATTGATAGCTGAGCCTCAAATTAGCACTGTCATTAATAGTGCACAGTTTCAAAATTCTAACTATTTTTAAATTCACGGGGTACCAGATGCTCTACAATGGGCATGAGCTTTGTGTTTAGTTTATTCTCATAGGTTTATGAAGGAGTTATCTTTAATCACCATCCTCTAATTCAGAATAGGGAAAACTCTTGGTGTGATTTTTCATTAAAGCTAAAAGTAGCAGGCAAAAAGGGTTGACTGTTGAAATCAACCATAAACCTAATTTGGAAAAATAAATTTTTTCATATTTTATTGTCATCCTGTGTTGTTCATCATTTTTTTGCGAATTATTCTTTTACAAAACATACTTTGATAGAGGTAATGTTCAGTTTCAAAATATTGCATTTATGTCTTTATATAGACTGCTTTGCATTAGTACACTTGCTCAGTACCTAAACTAAGGAGATGCTAACATTTCTTTCAAAGATTTTTTTATAACGTTTCTAATTTTGGATTTATTTCTTCCTTGCTCTATCTAGGGTTTCTATCTTAAGAGCAAACAACTGTTGAGGAAATTAACTGAGTTTGGAATTTTTGCACTGTCATTTCAAAAAGTGCTAATTGGATTTAGTGTATAAGGTTGTTTCCTTCTTCTCATTAGTAAATGATGGGCTTACAGTGCCAGCAGCACCTGGCAGGGATTCAAGAGCTCTTTGCTCTAATTCAAAAATGGCTCTTCTTGGCATCTAATTCAATAGTCTATTACAAAAAGGGCAAGCATCCTAAATACCCCTAAACTTAAGATAGATAACACAAACCCCAAACAAACCCATCTTAGAAAGAGATGACTCACCTGTTCAATATCGCTGTTCTTTCGGGATTTGTATATAAATTCTCCAATGGCTACAAATACAGAAAGGACCAGTCCAGCAGCCAGAACAATGAAGATGCCCCCAATATTTTCTACTCCCAGAGCACTGGCCTCTTTGTTGTCTTCTTCTGGACAGCCATTTCCCCTCCACCATTTTTCTTTCATCATATGCAGTTTCCCCTCTTCTTGTAATTGAAGAATAGCAATAGTAATTTTATCCCGGTAAGGAGAGCCTGTGAGTGAGGACATTTGGATATTGGTCACCAAAAGGTTGAAGAAGATGCAAAGAAGGGTTATCATCTTAGAGGTTACTTAAAGGTAAATTACAGGTGTCTTAGAGATAACTACTCACAGCTATTGGAAAAACCCCAGTCTACAAATTGGCCAACAAAGGGCATGGCAGCTCAATCCTATATTTTGAAGGATCTAAATAATTGGAAAGGACAAAGCTGACATGCTGAGATGAGCTATTACCCAGATTGTTCCTTTTGAGTAAGGAACAGCTGAGCTGGGAAATCCATGACATCCTGCTGTTTCTGGTGAGTTCCCTATGAATCCTTACCCACGTTAGAGAATTTCATCATTTCAGTTCCATTTTTTCCAGGCTTTTGGATGTCTAATACTGTGACAGCCTGGCTAGATGATCACCTGTGCCATTTCTTCTTCCTATGGGAGTAGCTAGACATTTCCTAGTGTCTTTTACAATGCCTTGTGGTGATTGACCAATTCCTAGCCATTGGGAGCTAAAGCTCTGTATGACTATTCCCAGTCCTGTCTCATAAATCCTCCCAACATGATCCTCTACTCTCCCTCTCTTTCCTCAAATACTCAGCAAGGAGGAAACAATTTTAAGACACTAGGGATAGTGGAACCACTGGTTAGAAAGGGCTTGGGTCCCAGGATGACTGAATGAATCAGAATCCCTCTCTCAATCTGCTACTGGATGATAACAAAGTCAAGAAATAAGTATTTATTGCCTTGGCCACTACAGACTTGCAGATGTTGATTAGAGTAACTAGTTCATACTGACTAATACACTTATTAAGATACTATTAAAAATAGGTTTTGAATAATTCAAGGGTCTCACAAAATACAGCTAGATTTAGAAAGTTTGCAAGTACTTTATTGATTATTTATATTTTATCTTCTAGCAATGCCATTGGACTTTTAATTCTGTTAAGAGTAGAGAGCATCAACATCATCTTGCTGCAGCCACAGTTGCCCAATACTGGATCCCTATGTTAATCAGAGCAAAGGAAGAGATAAAAAAAAGTGTAAGATTTCTTTATTCAATTTCTCCTTGAGTGCTAAGAGTTTTTGGAAGCTTTTTATTCTACTCAGTAGGTCTTTCTGTAAACTTTAATATTCTTCTTGGTGGAAAAAGAAAATTGAAAAAAAAAAAAGAAAAGAAAAGTAAATGTGGCCTCTTAGAACCAGAAGAGAGCTTCAGTCAGTTCACTTCAGTCACTCAGTCATGTCTGACTCTTTGAAGCGCCATGGACTACAGCACACCAGGCATCCCTGTCCATCACCAACACCCGGAGCTTGCTCAAACTATTGAGTCGGTGATGCCATCCAACCATCTCATCCTCTCTCGTCCCCTTCTTCTCCTGCCTTCAATCTTTCCCAGCATCAGGGTCTTTTCCAATGAGTCAGTTCTTTGCACCAGGTGGCCAAAATATTGGAGCTTCAGCTTCAGCATCAGTCCTTCTAATGAATATTCAGGACTGATTTCCTTTAAGATTGATTGGTTAGATCTTCTTGCAGTCCAAGGGTCATTCAAGAGTCATCTCCAACACCAAGCATCAATTCTTCAGCACTCAGTTTTCTTTATGGTCCAATTCTCACATTCGTACATAACTACTAGAAAAACCATATCTTTGATTAGATGAACCTTTGTTGGCAAAGCAATGTCTCTGCTTTTTAATATGCTGTCTAAGTTGGTCATAGCTTTTCTTCCAGGGAGCAAGCATCTTAATTTCATGGCTGCAGTCACCATCTGCACTGATTTTGGAGTCCAAGAAAAGTCTCTCACTGTTTCCATTATTACCCCATCTATTCACCATGAAATGATGGGACTAGTTGCCATGATCGTAGTTTTCTGAATGTTAAGTTTTAAGTCAGCTTTTTAACTCTCCTGTTTCACCTTCATCAAGAGGCTCTTCAGTTTCTCTTTGCTTTCTGCCATAAGGGTGGTGTCATCTGCGTACATTAGGTTGTTGATATTTCTCCTGACAATCTTGATTCCAGCTTGTGCTTCATTCAGCCTGGCATTTCGCATAATATACTCTGCATATAAGTTCAATGATCAGGGTGACAATATACAGCCTTGACATACTCCTTTCCCAATTTTGAACCAGTCTGTCATTCCATGCCCAGTTCTAACTATTGCTTCTTGACCTGCATACAGGTTTCTCAGGAGGCAAGTAAGTTAGTCTGGTATTCCCATCTCTTTCAGAATTTTCCACAGTTTGTTGTGATCCACACAGTCAAAGGCTTTGGCATAGTCAATAATGCAGAAGTGGATGTTTTTCTGGAGCTCTCTTGTTTTATCTATGATTCAACAGATGTTGGCAATTTGATCTCTGGTTCCTCTACCTTTTCTAAATCCAGCTTGAACAATTGGAAGTTCTCAGTTCACGTACTGTTGAAGCCTGGCTTGGAGAATTTTGAGCATAACTTGGCTAGTGTGTGAGAGGAGTGCAATTGTGAGGTAGTTTGAACATTCTTTGGCATTCCCTTTCTTTGGGATTGGAAGAAAAGGTCTTAGGATCCATATTATCCAATCCACTTATTTTTAGAACTGAAGAAAATTAGGATGTGAAAATGTGGGTGAAAATAATAACTACTGGCAGAATCAAGAACTTAACTAAATTCTCCTAACTCTTTCTTAGTGTGGTATTCATTAATGCTTCTCCCTCCACCCCCACCCCCTACCCCATGTTACCTACCTCTCTCTTGCATGTATCTTATGCTCTAAGGCATGGTTCAAAAAGCAGAAGATTAATATTGTGGCATTTATCACTTATTCCCATCCCTCCCAAGACTTCCTAAAGTCATTGTCAGTACCTCAAAATTAAGTTTAAAAGAAGATCAAAATGTAGAGAAGGAGAAATACTATATGACATCCTTTACATGTGTAATTTTAAAAGAAATGATATAATTGAACTGACTTACAAACAGAAAGAGACTTACAGGCTTAGAGAACGAATTTACGATTGCTGAGGCGGAAGGATGGTGGGAAGGAAGAGTTAGGGAATTTAGGATGGTGAAAGCAGCCATGAAATTAAAAGATGTTTACTCCTTGGAAGGAAAGTTATGACCAACCTATACAGCACATTAAAAAGCAGAGACATTACTTTGTCAACAAAGGTCTATCTAGTCAAGGCTATGGTTTTTCCAGTAGTCATATATGTATGTGAGAGTTGGACTATAAAGAAAGCTGAGTGCAGAAGAATGGATGCTTTTGAACTGTGGTGTTGGAGAAGACTCTTGAGAGTCCCTTTGACTGCAAGCAGATCCAACCAGTCCATCCTAAAGATCAGTCCTGGGTGTTCACTGGAAGGACTGATGTTGAAGCTGAAACTCCAATACTTTCACCACCTGATGCGAAGAACTGACTCATTGGAAAAAACCCTGATGCTGGGAAAGAATGAAGGCAGGAGGAGAAGGGGACAACAGAGGATGAGATGGTTGGATGGCATCACCGATTCAATAGACATGGGTTTGGGTGGACTCCAGGAGTTGGTGATGGACAGGGAGGCCTGGCGTGCTGCGATTCATGGGGTCGCAAACAGTCGGACATAACTGAGTGACTGAACTGAACTGAACTGCACACACTGCTATATTTAAAATGGATAACCAAAAGGACCTGCTGTATAGTATAGGGAACTCTGCTCAATGTTATGTAGCAGTCTGGATGGGAGAGGAGTTTAGGGGAGAATGGATGCATATATATGTATGGCTGAGTCCTTTCACTGCTCACCTGAAAATGTCACAAATTGTTAATCAGCTATTCCCCAATACAAAAGTAAAAGTTTTAAGCAAATGTTAAAAAAAAAAAGATCAAAATGATTTGGAGTTAGATTGTGGCTTTTCAGTTAAGACTGTGGATTTCTGGTGAGAAAATGACTCGCGAAAGCCAAATTAAAAGACTTTGGCTACTTGCTTAAACACCTCCAGAATAATGGTTAGTGTCAAAATTAGCACAATTAACATACTCATAGTATGTGAGCATGAGAGCTTTACTTCAATGTACAGAAAGGAGCTTTAAGAATGTGAGAATGATCATAGGGTAACAATTGCAGCAGTAATCATGGTGGTATACACAGTGGGCGCTCAGTAAATATTGCCTGTTGCTCTCCTTCTGCCTTCAGGCTGCATGCTGCCTAAAACAATTCAGACAGATGAGATCGGATCTCTGTTTAAAGTTGGTCTCCAAGGAAGGTCATTTCCAGCTTCCTGGTAACCTGTTTAAGCCTTAACTGCTCTCATTCTCTGCAAGTTTTATTTTAAATCTCTCAGGAGGAGCATTTCCAGAGCCCTGTCCTGAGAGCCTGTAAGAAACAACGTTTTCAGTTTTGGGTTGTGACTGAGCTGATTTTGCCTGTCATTGACGGTGAGGAGGAACTTGGAGCCTTAAGGGAGCCAGCCAAGGCAAGACCATCAGCATGTGGGGATTTTTTATATTTGAATGTATTTTAGCTTCAGTTGTTGCTTACATGGGCTGAATGACATTGGAAGTGATTTATGACAAGTCACTTGAAAAAAATATATATGTACACACATGAATCTTCCTGAATAGCAAACTGATCTTTCTTAAAGAGTCAATTCATCATAGAAGAAACATCTCACAAATTTATCCAACAGCTGTATTCCCAATGGATGTATTCTCTTTGAGGTCTGCCATCTGTTCTAATTATTCCCTCATTGTTTTTGTTTTAAAAGTATGACAGGTTTATAACCACTATGAAAAATTCCTGGAGTGTATTTTTTTTTTTTCATGTAGGGAGGTGGAAAAACTCTTCAATTTTGGAATTTGTATGTCAGACACTGCATGAGGTTGGCAAAAGTTAGACTAAATTGGAACATTTAACTCTCTTTATGTCATATTATATAAAATATAGTGATAATTATCACAGGGTCAGCTTCCTTCACATGGAGGCATAGTCATTTTCAAAATGCTACATTGGATTTCTTGGTGGTCAGTGGATAAGAATCCACCTGCCAATGCAGGGGACATGGATTCGATCACTGCGCTCAGTCCTGTCTGACTCTTTGTGACCCCATGGAATGTAGCCTGCCAGGCCCCTCTGTCCATGGAATTCTCCAGGCAAGAATATTGAAGTGGGTAAGCTGTTCCCTCCTTTGGGATCTTCCTGACCCAGGGATTGAACACAGGTCTCCTGCAGTGATGGAATATAATATATATATCATATACAACATCTAGCTTCTTCCACCCTATTCTCTAAAATGAGGTGACAAGGCTTAGTTAGGGAGATGAGACATTGCTTTTCAAATCAAAAAGAAGCACAGTATCCTTTTAGTTAATGTCTGACTATCCCACTGAATCCCCTGAAGAGCACAGTTTAAGGAGAGGTAATCACTTGGGAAAAGTGTACACTTCACTTGAATATTGGCATTTTCATCAGGAAAAGTTATTATAAATAAAGGGGCAATAAGGTAGTCACATGTTGCCTATCCCAATCATGCTGCTGATTTATTTAAAGGGCACACACAACAATAATAATAACATAGTTAATGTCTTTACTGCATATATTTCTAGCACCAGATGTTATTGCATAGAGTCAAATTGGTTATGTATTGACAGTAAAAGGTGAAGAGAGTTGACCTTTATGTGGTTAATCAAGTTAGTATAGATCAAAAATTGAATACAGGCTACTTAGTCTTTTTGAAAAAATAAATTTGCTGCCAATTTAAAGTATCAGGAAAGTTCACCTAAAATCTGTTTGTTTTCTCTTCATGAGAAATAGAAGATTTAACAACGTTGTGCCTGAATACCACAACCAACTGACCTGAAAGGCAGCTGATCCCCTTATGAGTCATGTAGTCTCTAATTCTTCAAGGTTGCTACTGTTCCCTATTGCTTCTTCACACAAAGATTTATTCAGTTATGCCTGCTTGATCTCTCTAAGCATCTGAGTTTGATCCCTGTATAGTGTTGAGGGAACCAGATAATCCTTTTTGAAAGAGAAAAATAATAATCAACCTTGGGTCCTTAATTATCTGATGTAACTGTAACTTATGATTTCTTATTGGACTAACCCAGTGGTCAAAGACGGCCTCCAATTCCTCCTCTTTGGAACGCTTATCAAAAAATTGCTGCTGACTCACTTGAGAAGAACAGATCGACACCATACCAGAACCTTACACAATACAGTTTCTGTAGTGAGGGAAATAGGGGAGTTTTCTATAGGGAAGTCATTGACCCTTGAATATAGAATATAGTTCTAGATCTCGGACATGCAAGAAGACCTAGCTGTGTGGGTCTGTATGCCTACAAGGTAATAATAACCTTAGACTGTGAAGTGGTACAAAATCAAGAGCAGGACTATTTGGCAAATAGATGGGGAAAAAGTGGAAACAGTGACAGATTTTATTTTCTTGGGCTCCAAAATCACTGTGGACAGTGATAGCAGCCAGAAAATTAAAAGACATTTGATCCTTGGAATGAAAGCTATGACAAACCTAGAGAGCATCTTAAAAACAGAGACATCACTTTGCCGACAAAGGTCCACAAAGCTGTGGTTTTTCCAGTAGTAATCTATGAATGTGAGAGTTGGACCATGAAGAAGGCTGAGCACTGAAGCAATGATGCTTTTGAACTGTGGTGCTGGAGAAGACTCTTGAGAGTCCCTTGGACAGCAAGGAGATCAAATCAGTCAGTCCTAAAGAAAATCAACCCTGAATATTCATTGGAAGGACTGACCCTGAAGCTGAAGCTTCAGTACTTTGGCTATCTGATATGAAGAACTGGTTCACTGGAAAAGATCTGAATGCTGGGAAAGATTGAGGGCAGAATTAGAAGTGGGCAACAGAGGATGAGATGGTTGGATGGCCTTGCCAACTCAATGGACATGAGTTTGAGCAAACTCTGGGAGACAGTGAAAGACAGGGAAGCCTGGCATGCTGAAGTCCATGGGGTGGCAAAGAGTTGAACACAACTTAGCGACTGAACAACAAGGACTATTTGGAGATTTTAAATAGTTATTAATGATTGAATCTGGCATATTGTCTGAGCAAATTATAATTTAATCTTTGACCTTTTCCTTTTGATAGATAGTTTTGTTTTCGACTTACATGGAACACTAGCTCTTTAACTTTGTCATCTATATGCTTACTGAATTTTGCTGTATTTTAGTAAAATTTAATACAGAAAAAACTATATAGGCATGTATTGGAGAACATAATGTGAAGAGTGTTAATTTGGAAGATATTTTTAAACAATATTTGGGGTAAAATAATAAAATCTATGACCTCAAACATATATGCAGTGGTAGAACTTGAAAGAAATAATGAGTTGAAAGTTTATTAGATTGAAGATCTTGGACTCTATTTCTAACGTGTCTATGATCTGTATGGGCATTGCCGTTTTAATTAGTTCACGGAAGGCATTGTAGACTTTCTCGGAATGTGGAGTAGATATATCTGAGTCCATTCCCTTCTATACTTAGTAATTAACACTCGCCATCTTGGATACTGCCTTGCCTTTCTTACCAATAGGCGTTCCCACTCCATAACCTTTGGAGTCAATGAGGCCCCCGATCTGGGTGAGGTTGCAGTTTCTCTGTGTCACATACTCAATGCTGGTGGATTCCATCAGCAGGGCATAGTCAGTGGTGAGCACTCGATGGATCCCCTCATCACTGTTTCTGACCAGGGCAGTCTGCTGCCTGCTACTCATGAAAGCCCACATCTTCTCATAGGTGGATATCTTCGATTTCTGCAGGGAAAAAAACACACCCACCAGCAGAGTGCTGAGAAAACAGGCCCTAAAGCTACTCAAAGCCCCGGGGATTCAAACTGTGTAGGGAGGGTTCTTCCTCTTTAGGTAGGAAACTAATATTGATGATCCTGGGACTTCAGTTTGGTAGTTGTCAAGGAAAAACACTTGGGGGCGCTGAGGCAGCTATGGAGAAAAAAGAGGTCCTGCCCCATTGATGTAAGGCATTGCCGTAAGATTCTTTTGTTGATTTCAGAATGGAAGAAAGAACATTGATATCAATGACAGCATTTGCCTAATGAACTCTGGCCACTTAAGCATAAGACCTCAGAGCCCCACGGGCCAAAGGGTGACTAGATCACCCCAGGACTCTATTCATTAATTCCATTGCCTTCAACTACTTAACTTCAGTAGGCATTGTTTTACTGTTCTGATACGTAAATTTTAACATTCCTTTGCCGGGACAGCCTTGGGATACATCCCAGAGTTTCTCTGCTTTATTTATGAAAGAACTGCTGATTACTCTTATCTTCTCTAGAAAACTTGGAGCAAATGCTCTTTCAGACTGAAATTCAGATCAGAAAACTCTTCTTACTGTCTTCTTATGTGTCTTTTTTGTATATACTTAGTTTTACATTCCAATTAAGTTTTAGATAATGAGGACTAAGTATTCATTTGAAACTGTATGATTTTGTTTGCATTTTGTTTTGTAATTTCCATATTGCTTCAATTTTTTTTCCTGTATTTGTCTTCACTTGCATCAGCACTTCCCTCTATTAATTTGAAAGATGAAAGACACTGGGGGAATTACTGATAATTTCGAGCTATCTCCAGCGCACACATTGTATATGGTACACACACACACACACACACACACACACAAGAGCTTCCTTGTCAGGCACAGGGCTTATCATCTTACCATCTCAAGAGTGTAAAGATGCTTAAAACATGATTTGTGGTCATAAGCAATAAATGAAATACCTGTGGATTCAACGCGAGCGTGGTTACTCATGTTCTAGTGCTCCTGGGGGCTCACTCAATTCCTAACTCTATTTAAGACCTGGGTTAATGCTGCAGGCTTTATGAGTTGAGGGAGGCCAGATGGCTTTATTTTGGGTTGTTAAGCATTTGAAGAGCCCCTTGAGAAAAGTCTCATGAGACAAATAGCAATTCAATAAACAGTACCTTCTAGATACTGGTGTGTTATGGAAACCATTTTGTCATGATCAGACCTGTGTGAATTACTCCTCACTTTCAGAGATATCTGAAAGTTGGGGTTCACATCACCATGAAAAAGTGTGTCTTTGAGGTTGGAGGTCAGTGACTAATTTGTTGGGTCATTTTAGCCTAGAAGAGTCTGATGATGCTAAATTTATAATCAAGAGCTACTTGTGCAGGTGCAAAGAGGTCAGTCTGTCTTTTGGCAGTGAACACACTGCCGGGGAAATTATTCCTCCATCACGAAACTTCCTTAAGGGAAAATATTTTTTTTTTTAGAATTATGAAATTTTAAAGTTGTCAAAAGACTCTAGAAAGTGGCTCATTCAAACTCCTGTTTTCATAAAGGAGGAAATTTTGGTACAGAAGGTTTGGAGACTGTGAAAGTCTCAAAACTGGTTAGTACGTACAATAGGTAATACTGGACCTCAGTGTGAGATTAGTCACTCAGTTGTGTCCAAGTCCTTGGTCCTGTGGACCATAGCCCACCAGGCTCTGCTATCCATGGGATTCTCCAGGCAAGAATACCGGAGCGGGTTGCCATTCCTTTCACCAGGGGATCTTCCTGATCCAGGGACCCAACCTGAGTCTCCTGTATTGCAAGCAGATTCTTTACCATCTGAGCCGCCAGGGGAGCCCCAGACCTCAATCCTCTGCAATCTAGTTCAATGGTCTTTGCATGCTTATTTTGGGTAGGTGAATGTCAATTTAGCTAAATTCTTCTGAGAATGATTTTCACCTTATATGATCTACCTGTGACACTATAGCATATATTCATGAACTCGAATTATGCCCTGAGGTTATCTGTGATTTGGTATCAAGTTAATGCAAACTAGGAATTAACCACATATAAAAAATCCATGAAATATCTATTTTTCCATTACACTTAAATTTTATTCAAGATGAATATTGTAAATAGGTAGAAAACTGGATTTTTTGTGTATGGTCTATGGAAACTATAGGGCTTTCCAGGTGGAGCTAAGCGATAAAGAACCTTCCTGCCAATGAAGGAGATATAAGAGACTTAGGTTTGATCTCTGGGTCGAGAAGATCCCCTGGAGGAGGGCATGGCAACCCACTCCAATATTCTGGCCTGGAGAATCCCATGGAAAGAGCAGCCTGGAGGGCTACAGTCCATAGAGTTGCAAAGAGTCAGTCATGACTGAAGCGACTTAGCTTGCATGCATGGAAGCTGAGGACAAAATGAAGTAAAAGATCAGGTCATTCATGAGAAATAGACCACCTGGGAGGAGTCCTTCTTGGAGTTTATGTATTGAAGGACATGGAAAAAGATGAGAAGATTCAACTGAGAACATATACACTTGTTATTGATCCCAATCAAGTGTGGTTCTCAAATCATCTGCAGTGAAGGACTGTCTATGTTTTCATTCCAGGCCAGACCTATCTGGGATCCTACTGTGTTATGGTAGGTAGGGTTCATATGCACTCATAACAGGTGTGACTCACCAGATTAAATTTTGAAGGCTTCAAAGTGGTCTATATTCAAGAAGAATCCATTAGTCATGTTCTTGATGCCACCACAATATCTGAGAGCTACAGCACTGCTAAACTGTTACTCTCATTTTATTTTTTAATCTTATCACAGGTTGGTAACACAATGTTCCCTGAATCAACACATATCATATCACACTTTGATTGGCACCACTCTATAGAGCTGATGGGACTTCCCTGGTGGCTCAGTGGTAAAGAATCCATCTGCCAATGCAGGAGATATGAGTTGGATCCCTAGGTAGGGAAGATGCCCTGGAGAAGGAAATGGCAATCCACTTCAGTATTCTTGCCTGGGGAATCCCATAGACGGAGGAGCCTGGCGGGCTACAGGCCATGGGGTCACAAAGAGTTGGACACAAACTACCAATGGAACAGGAACAATAAATATAGCTGAAGGTCATTAATTAATTTAGGGTCATGACCATGACCTTAAGGTTTATTTACTTCTTCCTTTTTGGAGTAGAAGGTTGATCTTAGCTTCAGTTCCCTGAGGTGCTAGAAGGGAAATCTAGCTGGCATGGACTGTGACTCATTGAGGGCAGAGCTTTTCCTCCATGGCTAATTCATTTCGATGTATGACAAAAACCACTGTAATGTTGTAAAGTAATTAGCCTCCAACTAATAAAAATAAATGAAAAAAAAAATAAAAAAAATAAAAAAATAAAAAAAATAAAACAAAAAAAAGAAATTATTTTGTAGGGTTCCTCTAAAAATAAAGCAATATGGAATAATAATATAGGGTCATTTTTCTGGAAAGCCTTGATATGCAAAGTGGGATTTCAACTTCAAAAAAAAAAAATAAAGAAAATAAATGGTCACTTGGTGGAGGACTCAGTCAAGTAGAAGGCATAGGGAACATTCTAAATTTCTCTGGTCCCCTCCTGCTATGTTTGTTCCAGCCTAATGGTGGAAAGCATAATGGGTCAGAGAATAGCACCCTTCTGGTTTCATTTCAAGTTTTCTTTCCTTGTTTAGAAAGTTGTGGGACTGCCTTCTATTCTACATTTGAAAAACTGGGGAGCTTAGATAAAAAGACGCAGAATGTGGCTAAGAAATAATTTTTTTTTTAGCAGTTAAAACTATTTGTAGATGGCTTTAGCACCTGAGGATATAGTGCATTTTCTACCACTGGGAACTTACAAGGAGAATTTCACTGTTGGACAAGTTTCACTTAAGGATCCTTCAACTCCTAGGTACTACTCTTCAGATCAGCCTTCTTGCATTACTTATGCCTGTCCTGCAGTGAAGTGACACCCAAGTGTCATGTAAGGTCTCTTTCCCCCTTATTTTTGAATTCCATCCTCTGTTATACTATGTTTTGCAATATTTATTTTCTGTTTGGTCAGAAAGTACTATTTTAAGAGTAATTAAATTAGGTTTATTTTTTTAATAGACAATTTTTAAGACACAAATCTTAATAATTCTTAAAAATAAATACATGCTTTATGGAACATTGTCATAAATATTAAAATACCAAGCAAATCATCTGAATGACAGTTTGGATAGTTCTGCACTTCTAAATCTTCTATAGTCTCAGCCTGCTAAATTGCTCTAAATAATATATGTTTGAAAAGAAGAAACAGTGATTGCATTTTATTTCACTGAATATGTCAAAGGTTAATTAGAAGATTTGTAAAGTACTCTGAGCTTCTTATCAAAAATCACTAAAACTGAAAAGTCCTCATTTATTAAACCTGAAATTCTTTAGCTTTTTTTTTTTTAAATCATACAGGGGGCATCAAGGTTTAAATACATTTATTTTGTCTAGTTAAACCTGATTATATGGCTATTCTGATGCTGATGAAAGGTTGTTGGCAAAGAGTTAGTGTTTTTTTCATCTAAAATTTGTTTTAAGGGAGTATAACTATCACCATTTGATGACTTGTTTATTTCTCTTTTTTCTCTCATAATTCTTGCAAGTTAAACACTCAGTGGGAAATGATTTAGAATTGGTCTCTGTGCACTTAAAAACTGCTGACTGAAAATGGTAATAATAACCAGGACATGCAGTGTTTACTGTGTGCCCAGGATGATTCTAAGCACTTTGCATTATTAATCCATTGAATCTTCACAGTGTTCATATGAGAAAGATACCATTATTATTTCTCCTTTACAGATGAGGAAACAGAATGCCACATAAAGAAACGGTGAAACTAGGACCCGATCCTAGCAATCTGGCTCTAGGGTATGTATTCTTAACTAATAGGGAATCAACTATTTGTTTAATACACAGAACATCAAACTTATGACTTGGCTGACATTTTAACGTC